TATACGTATACGTATACGTATATGTATACGTATATGTATATGTATGTATATGTCTATATATATATAGGGATTGACTCCAGTGAGATGACATGCTTTGGTCAGATGACGCAAAGCTCACCACTGGCCACTGCAAAGCTCACCAAAGACAATTACAAAGCTCACCAAACTGTTAGGCAAAACTCACCATATTTTTTAAGCACTTTGAATTTTTTTTGAAAAAAAAATAAAAGAAGGGGTGCTGACTAGACTTTGACCATTGACCGTTGACCATCACCGGCCACCGCCGGCCGCCGGCCGCCGCCGCCGCTGGCCGACCACCTCTGCCGCCGGTCTCCGCCGCGCCACCGCTGCTGACCGGTGGTTGACCGGTGTTGTTATTTTATTTTTAATTTTTTTTTTAATTTTCAAAATTAAAAAAAAGTGAGTTTTGGTGTTCAAAGTGGTGAGCTTTGCTTTATTTCCAAGTGAGCTTTGCAGTGTAATGTGGTGAGCTTTGCGTCATCTCACCGAAGCATGTCATCTCACTGGAGTCAATCCCATATATATATATATATATATATATATATATATATATATATATATATATATGTATGTATGTATGTATGTATGTATGTATATAGGTCTTATACATTTTAAGGAAGCTTGACAAAGAAAACCGAGAGAGAAGACAAGTTTAAGTCTATTAGGTTGCCCTAAAAGAAAATGGGCTGCACTAAAAAATGGGTTTTTTCAAAATTTTAAATCGGCCCAAGGTATCAAGGCGAGGTAAGGCGATGCCTAGGCGAGTGCCTGGTCGCCTTAAGGTTTTCTAGGTGAGGCGAGCAGACAAGGCGTCCCAGTGACAGCGCCTTATCGCCTAGGCGACGCCTTACAAACTATGGATCCAGCAAGCCATCCAGACATGATTCACAGCAACAGAAACAATTACTAGCGATTACAATTTTTCCAATATATGAGCCACATTACCTTGTCCTTCACCAAGCCACCAGATGTAAATACTCCAGCATCTTCTAAAGCCAAGATGACCTTTTTCTGCACATAACAGTGCACCGCATAAATATGGAGGAAAGTATTGGTTAAACACGTCTAATGCACCTTAGCACCATAAACCGTTGATAGTGCTCCACTTCAAAATTATAACCCCCCCCCCCCAATACACACCCTTAGACCATATTATGGTATTCCATCTGATGGACCTGACCCAGTATTGATATAATATAAATACCACAATAAGTTTCAGAATAAAATATGCACAAAATAAAGGTATAAAATGGAAAACATCTTTATTTAAAACTCCCTCTGTCCCACAAAAAAAAGATCTCACATTTCCTTTTTTGTTCCAAAAAAGTTCCTTGTTCAGTTGTTCCTTTTAAGGAATGAATTGGGTGGTTCACACAATTTCTCTCCTGTATGAAAAAAACAATCACACACTTTCCCCTTCATTAATAATTGTGCCTAATCATGTGGGACTTAATTTTGGCATGGGGCAAGTAATCAATTATTTTGAACCGCATAGATGATGATGGAGTTAGAACTTTATCTCATTAGCCATTATTCTATTGTAGGAACATTGCATCAAAAAGGACATAAACCCCACCCCCCCCCCTCCCATTGCTTGCATTTATGATTTTAACTAGTTTTAGAAAAATAAATGAGACTATTACATGAATGAGGTTGCATGGATTAAAATTACATAGTCCCTCCATTGTTTATTAACTGTCTATTATAATTTTCATGATACGTTGATAAATGATTGAATGTAGACATAAAATACATCTACATTCATTCATTTTTCAATAAAATAATGAAAGTCATAATAGACCGTTAATAAAAATAGAGGGAGTAGTGGAGTACTAGAAATTAAGATACATTGAGTTTGAGATAAATCCAATAGTATTTAAATTACTTTCACTGAATTTGTAGTTCTTCTTTTTAGGTAAGAGGATGATAAAAATCACTGGGTTCATCTTACCAAATATTACTATTATAATTCACATTGATTTAGCTTTTATGGTGGTTCTTTACATCATTTGTAAACACCATCAGATGAACTCTATTAATCTCAACAAAGAACACTTTATGATACATTACAGGTCACAGGTCAGTAAATGACAGTAGCTTAGCCTCTTGGATCAAACACCTTTCTTAGTGTTTCTCGTGTGTGTGCGTGTGTGTATGTAAACACTTTATCTAGTTCCTCAACCAATAGTTAAAAGTTTTCAGAAAATAGCATCAACAACTCTTTAATAATGCATTATGAGATATACAGTAGCACTTACTTCACTCTCATCATCTAGAACTCTTTCCATGAGATAAAGATCACAAAATTTGGTGATTTCAAGCAATACTTCCAGAACAGAGGATCTCACAGTTACTTGTTTCTGTCAGTAAGAAAGGTGTGTTTGTAAGTTACAGAACATAAAAGATTGTGAAAATGGCATAGTGCATGATGAAGTCCAAAAAAATCCACCTGAGTCGCATCACACCAACATCACTATCTGTCTGGGTGCAACGACTGCCATGTAAGATGCCAGGATGCGGTCAAAAAATGAAAAAATAATACTAACCTGAAGCTCCTCAGGGCTAGTTTCCTTGAGGATCACACCAAGTAACTGACATGTTACCTGTAGAGATATAATTGCAAATGTATCACACAATTGAAGAACCAAAGATAGGACATTGTGATATGGATATGGCTATGGGTTCATTAGACCCAATGGATATGGGGCCAACCTCTAATATATGGATATGCATATGAGTCTAAACATTGAGATCCAGATCCGTGCCCATATCCATATCCAGACCCACACACATACACTAAAAAAAACTTGCGTATAAAACTCAAAAACTATGCTTTATTTTAGTTTTCTCGAACATCTTTCCTCATCGTCTCTCAGCTCTCTTCTGACCTTGTTGTATTTGACATATCCATATCCATATGCCACCGCATCAACATTCAGGCTCCAGCCACAATAAACAAATCAACCTCTACTCTTCATTCATTATCATCTTCAACGAGCATTTTTTTAGTCTCCAAACTCGATCTTTATTTTCTTATTTGATTAAAACATGTTAAACCGTTAAAATCTTATTAGCTCTCTATTCGCTAATTGAAAACTATATTTAATCCTTAAATATTAATATGTGTTGATTGTTTAAAATATGCTTCCTCCCAATGTGAATGTTTTGTTACAAATTTGTGTTACGACTTATGCATTTTATTTTCAGTATTTGTTGATTTTTGTTGATTTTAACTGCTAGAAACATTTTGTAATATGTCTTATGACTATACAACAACAAAAACCCATTAAAATCCCATTAAAGTAGGGTCTGGGGGGAGGGTGTGTCTATGCAGACCTTACCCCTACTAGAAAGTAGAGAGGTTTCCGAGAGAACCCCGGATCAACCGGATCGAGCAATACAGAAGGCACAAAGCACAAACAAAGAAGCAAGGGCAAACTAAGGGTAAAGAAAAGTGAAAAGAGACAAGAAGCACCAAGCAAAGAAAGCACACAACGAAAAGAGCAAAAACTATCACCAAGGCCTGAACGATTACCCAACTATCCTAATCCTACATCTCCAGATGCTCTGATCTATGGTTATATCCTCAGTAAGGGCCGAAAATCTTAAGTCCAGACTAATCACTACTTTTAATTCTTCTTAGGTCTATCTCTACCCACACTCGTAAGCCTCCCGCATCTCCGCACCGGGGCATGAGCGCTTTGCTGCTTCACGTGCCCAAACCACCTAAAGACCCACTATATACTCCATATTCATTCTAAAATTAAATGATTTGACCCACTAACGGCCCATTTACTTGTTGGATCCAGAGGATATATGGGTACAGGTTCAGCCTCTAAAGAACCATTAGATATGGGTAGGTATGGGTCCAAGTAGAAAAAAACAATATGGACCTGGGTTCGGGTGGAATGTGCCCATTGTCATCCCTAAAGCATAGGGTTGTTTAGGTAAACATTTGACAATACAAGGAATTCATTGCCTCTGGGCTCTGTCCCACTACTTTTGTCCTTTTTCCATTTTAGGCAATCCCAAAATATTTGTCCTTTACCATATTGGGTAGGATTTATGTGGCTCATATCAATTTATATTTTACCAATTCAATATTAACCACACATTTCTGCTTTTCCAAAATTTCCATGTCACTCTCTCAAATCCTAAATATTGCGGGACGATGGAGTATAATACAAAACTCTCTTAAGCCTTCCTCGTGGCATCAAAGGTAGCATCTAAGCTTCTAAAATTCCTACGTCATGATTCTACAATCCCTACTTTATTAGTTTATAGCAATGTTCCAAAAAAAATAACAATTCATGGCCACCAAAAGATTTTCAAGGCACAAAAGTGAGAGGGATGTTGCATTGATGAATTTGATTTGAAGTGCAAAGTGTAAACTTAAGTGTCGAGTAGTATGTAGACACATTAAAATGATGTGTAGGTGGCTCAGAACACAGTTTCTATGACAAAATACTTTTAGAATTCAAATAATAAATAAATAAATGAATATTACTAAATATTTTCAATATATTCAATTAATCACTAATCATCAAAACTTGTCATCTTTTTCACATGCCCCATGCTCCCGCTCATAAGTTTAATTTTCCATTTTGATCAAGTCCATTATTGTGAGCATTTGATGTAGTCTATGATTACTCATGATTGTGAGCAATTCAAGCAATCAACCAAACCAAACATAATTCTTACTCCAAGAGTGTGGCACTTTTTCAGAGCAAAGCATATGTCTTTTAGTCATGAATTCATGAATGCCTAATCAGTTTTCACAAGAGCGTAATCACAAAAACACAATCCAGTAATCAACCAAGCCAAACATACACATTATGCCCCCACTCGGGAGTATGGTGTGAGAAGGCTGAGATGTTGCATTACCACCACACCAACCCCCCAAGGAGTAGAGAGGCTGATTAAAAAAAACATTTCTAGAATACCCCTTACCAAACTGAAACTAAATGGTAATACCACCAACACGAAAGAACTACAATATCTCACCCCAGTTTGCTCGATCCGAATCAGCCACCTATGTTTGAAGGCATGAAGGTCTCAATCTTTACTAACTTGACAAAGGTACATTGCATTCATCACCAACCAATAACAATTATTTCATAAATCTGTTTTGTTCACTATGCTTTGCTACCACAAATCCATAGATCCGTTTTGAAGAACATCTGTTTTGTTCATTATTTGTTCACTATGTTAAAAAGATTGTCACGAATCCATGATATCTTCCATCTTCAACAACACAAAATCTGTGCGGTAAAGTAAACAATAGCAAGTTGACAAACAGTGAAATTCAGATAAAGATAAAATGTCCTAGATTTCCTTGAGACCTTTGAAAACAAGAATAATTCAAAAAACATTTGAAAGAGCACTGCACTATAAGCAAGTTTTCATGAATACAACATTGCACACACAAAAAAAACAACAGTAGGTGTAGTCTTGATTCACAATGTTCAATGGTTTGGTTAAATTAATGATTTGCTTCAATTGATTGAAGGCCACTAGATGTTTCTGCTTAAAAAGTGAAACAGAAATGCTCAGAAAATATAATGTAGAAGTATGAATAGTTACCTTCCTCCCTTCGCTCAACCTCTGCCGAACTATTTGCCCTAGGGTTGGCTGCATATCAGGGGTAAGAGAGTGAACTTATACACAGAAATATTGCTGGTAAGGAGGGAAAGAGGATGAGAATGCAACTCACCTTTACAGGCTGAAAGAACTCATCAATGACATTTTGTGCTCTTGAATCATATGATGATGGGTTAGCAACAACAGCAGATACAGTTTCATCTGCATGGCTACTAGCTTCAGAGCTACTTGACGGCACAGCTTGTCGTTTAGGTCTCCTTCTTTGAGTTCCACCTGGAGATCTCCATAGTCTCCAGGTAAACACTATTGCTAATGCAAGACCTGCCAAAGCCCCAACAGATTTTGAATCCTGTAATTTGACAATTCTACCATTGTTAAGGTTAAATGTGATTAACATTATTAAGCCACAGTACTGGAATCATCACTACTAGCTACAAAATGATTTCACGCTCTAGATGCATGTAAAGGTCTGCCAAAATAAGAATACTCGTATAACCAAACTTAAACTCCAAACAAATACAACAACAACAACAACATCCCAGGTGAATCCCACAACAGTAGGGAAACTCCAAACAAATAACGTGGAAAAATAAAACTGAACCCAAGTATGTGGACTAAATACAAGATTATGATCAAGTTCACAAGCTGATGAAGAGGCTATTGGTAACATAAACTCAATACATATTAGAAATTTAAAAAATAAAAAAGGTGAATGACAAGAAGAAAGATGCATAGCAATGAAACCCTACAGCTATTTAACTACAAAATAAAATTATAGTAAACACAATCATTTCTCTGTTTTGCTAGAAAACTCATGCAAGGGAACTATACTTTCCCAAAGCAGAAAACAAACTTCATCTTTGAACATACATTTCAGGAACACTCCTCAGTCTACAAATTTCTGAAGATTCAAAACTACTGGGGGGGGGGGGGGGGGGG